TCTGCCTACCTCTGCCTCCCAAGTGCTGGGACTACAGGTGTGTGCCACCACACCCAGCATAAATATATTTTTTAAAAAAGAAAGAAGTTAACTTGATTTTTGCCCTCCTCTAATTCTAAAAAGTCACATGAATTTCATTATCTCAGTTGTAATTCAGAGATTTCCTATTTAGTCACCCAAATGGTTATCTTCTTTTTATTTTTATTTTATGTGTATGAGTGTTTTGATGTATGTATGTAAGTGTAGCCATGCCCGCAGAGGACAGAAGAGGGTGTTGGATTCCCTAGAACTGGAATTACAGACTCTTGTTAGCTGTCATGTGGGTGTTGGGAACTGAACCCAGGTTCTCTGCAATAGCAGCCAGTGCTCTTAACTGCTGAGCCATCTCTCCAGCCTCCAAATGGTTATCTTCTAAAGTCACTTCAAAACTTTTTGAACTATATATTTTTGGGGCTGGAAAGATGGCTCAGGGGTTAAGAACACTGACTGTTCTTGCAGAAGACCTGGGTTCAAATCCCAGTACCCACATGGCAGCTAACAACTCTCCATAACTCCAGTTCCAGGGGATCCGACAGCCTTTTCTGACCTCCTTGGGCACTGCACAACATGAGTGCACTTATCTACACACAGGCAATACACACATACACATAAAATAAAAATAATAAATATTTTAAAATCCAAAACTTTTTGAACTATATATATTTTTAAGACAGGGTCTTTTTACGTTTTGGCGTTAGCCTTAGCCTTTAACGGCTGACAGGATCTTTTTAAGACAGGGTCTCCTTGCAGCCACAGCTGGCCTGGAACTTGCTATGGAGACCAGGCTGGTCTTGAGTTCAAAGAGATCTGCCCACCTCTGCCTCCCAAGTGCCACTATGCCCACCTTGAACCATATATTTTATATTTAAATAAAAACAGATATATAGCTGGGCATGGTGGCACACACCTTTAATCCTAACACTCAGGAGGTAGTGGCAGGCAGAGCTCTATTTGCACAGTAAATTCCAGCCAGGGTTATATAGTGAGACCGTCTCAGAAAATAAATCTTTAAAATTATATGTGTAGCAGAGATATTAGTTGTCTTTCAGTATGTATTACTCATTATTTCTTACTAACAGAACTCAAAATTGATTGGTAGTAGTGGTATGTACAGTTAAATTACATCATTATCTCAGACTTCCTTGTATCCAAGTGTAGCCATATATCTTTACTGGCCAATAAGATGTAAGGGGAAGTCTTCTATTCATTTTCCTTCTATCTGCCTAGAATGTGGAAATGATTGCTGGATCTTCAGCAACTACCTTGCAAACACAGAGAAGACACCAAGAGAATTAGAAATATTTAACTTCATTGAGCAAAAAAAATTCAAAGACAACTTATTATCTGAACTTTTCTTGATGTAATATGACCTTTAGTGTTCAATCACATTAAAGTCAGAACACAGATGTTTATAGCCAAGTATAATTCCTAAATGATCCATACCTGCTACTCCATTAAGTTATCTCCTATCTCCTGAACACATTTAGTATTTTTAAAAATATTCTATTTATTATTTTTTTATGTGTGTGTGTGTGTGTGTGTGTGTGTGTGTGTTTGAAACAGGTTCTCCCTGTAGCCCCAGCTGGCCTGGAATTAAATATGTAGACCAGGCTGGCCTCAAACTCACAGAGATCCACTAGCCTCTGCCTCCTAGGAGCTGGGATTAAAGGCATACACCACCACATCCAGCTTAAATGAGGTATTTTTTTGTTTTGTTTTGTTTTTTATGTGTATGCTTGTATTGCCTGCATGTAAGTAAGTGCACCCATGTCGTACAATGCCCATGGAGGACAGAAGAGGCTTTCGGATCCCTGGAACTGGGGTTAGGAAAGTTGTTAGCTGCTGTGTGGGTGCTGGAATTTGAACCCAGGTCTTCTGTAAGAACCACCAGTGTTCTTAACTGCTGAGCCATCTCTCCAGCCCTGTACATTTAGTATTTTTAATAGCTATCCACCTCATCCTGAGGTTTATTGAAATCCTGAAAAAACAAAAAACAAAACAACAACCAAACCAACCACAACTTCTACTACTCAAACGGTTCTATAAGAAATCACTAATAAGCTCTTGTACCTGTAAGTTAGTGCACTCCAAGTCCTGAGAGCCTAATTTCCTTAGTATCAGAGTAGCCAGCACAAACATGCTGTGGGGTGCTTCACCAAAGAAGACTACCAGACAAAGTTTTGCCGAATGAAAGTCATTGCTGGCCAGGGTTACAATACAAGGATGTTGGAACCCAAGTGTATAGCTCTGAGCCATCTCTAGGGTAAGCTTTTATACAGAGAAACCATAACCAGGGGTAAAAAGTTTAAGTTCCCAAGCTTACAGGTGCAAAGCCCCCTTAACAATTTCTATTCTATTAAGTAACAATTACTATGTTGCAGAAGCAAGCCAAGCATAACATAAAGAAGTCAAAAATCTGCAGTTAGCACACACTGACCTATTCCTAAGACAACTAAGTCCTGCTGATGTGTGTTCTTAAACCACAGGCCAATAATTTGCCTGATAATTTCAGAGACTAGAGTCAGCCTAAATTTTAACATGACATAGCTATGGTCAAGAAGGTGACCTATTACAAACATATGGCAACAGAACAGGAATGAATCAATGCCATTCTTCAAATATGTCCACTTCGAAGTGGATTCATTGTTAGGTAGCTAGTAAGACATTAGCAGGCATGAAGGTCATTATGGATAGACTCTTTCCTCATAATCAGCAGCCTGTAAAACCAGGAACTGAAACTGCAGGACTAGCTGTCAAAAGAATGAGATCTGGGTCAGGCATGGTGGCATATGCCTTTAATCCCAGCACTCGAGAGGCAGAGGCAGGTGGATCTCTGTGAGTTCAAGGCCAGCCTGGTCTATATAGTGAGCTCCAGGTCAGCTGGGGCTATAGGGAGACCCTGTCTCAAAAAAAGAAAAAGAAAAAAGAAAAAAATGTCTCTGTCCTTAGGTAGAGACATGACATTATCCTTTCCCTTAAGAGTTAATCCAAATGGGCCTGTTAATCACCTGATAGGAAAACGCCCCTCAGAAATTTGTCTGAACTAGAAACTTTAATAATACAAGGCTGGTGAGGTGGCTCAGTAGGTAAGGGTGCTTGTCACCAAGACTGATGACCTGAGTTTGATATCTAGAACCTACATGGTGGAAGGAGAGAACTAACTCCTACAAGTTGTCCTCTGACTGCCACATGCTTGCAAGAAACATGAAACACAAGAAATCAACATGAAAAAGCAAGGCAATGAGCTTTTAAAACAATGAAACTCCTCAATGCCTAAATACAAAGATATCAAAATAGGTTAAATGTCACATACGGATCTTAAGAGTTTACTACTAAAAGTGATCAATAATTCTGAGGACACAAAAAAGCAGATGAATTTAATCTAGGACATGGAAATGAAAGCAAAACAGATTAGAAAACCAGAAATGTGGATGAAGAGTCAGCAACATAGAAGAAAAATCCATCAAGGAAAAAGATTTTAGAAGAAAAAAGCAGAAATGTTAGAATGAAAACTCAATGAATAAAAACAAAAGCATTGGGGGTTTTCATTCATTCATTTTGAGTGTATGTATACGTGTGTGTGTGTATCATGGTGCATATGTCAAGAGGACAAGGCTGGGGAGTCAGCTCTTTCCAGCCACCTTATGAAACCCAGGGATCTAACTCAGGTTGTCAGGCCTGTGCCATCTCATCAGCCCCAAAGCTACCTTTTCAAACTGACAGAGAAATAAGGTCATTTCAAGACAAGTTCAAACTAAGGTGGTTCATGACCATCAAGCCAGCACTGCATAAGGTATAAATGGAATGCTATATACAGAGAAGAAAGACAGTATCAATCATGAGGGCACAAGAAAGACTATATTTTAAAAGAGTAGGTGAACAAAGGGAAAACTAGGAAAGAATTGATAACATCCAATACAGCAAATCCCTAAAGTTAATAGAAAACAAAACAAAGAGCAAAAAAGAAACAAACTAACAAAAAAACCCCCAAAATTATAGGAATTAGTAAATATCCCCCAACAATAACCTTAAATGTAAATGGCTTTAAATTTTCAATGAAGACATGCACGCTAGCTAACTTGATTAAAAAAATAAGATCTGGCCGGGTGTGGTGGTACATACCTTTAGTCCCAGCACTTGGGAGGCAGAGGCAGATGGACCTCTGTGAGTTCAAGGCCAGCCTGGTCTACATAGTGAGTTCAGGTCAGCTGGGACTACAGGACGACCCTGTCTCAAAAAAGACAAAAAAAGAAAAAAAGAAAAAAGGAAAAAAAAAAAAAAAAAGATCTGAGCTGGGTATAGTGTACCAGGCCTTTAATCCCAGCACAGAGGCACTGATCTCTGTGAAATCAAGGCCACCCTAGTATACAGGGGGAGTTCCAGGCCAGCTGTGACTACAGGAAGACCCTGCGTCAAAAAGACACACACACACACATATCTATGGGGCTAGAGAGATGGCTCAGTGGTTAGAGTTCAGCACTGACTGCTCTTGCAAAGGATATAGGTTCACTTCCCAGCACCCATACATGGAGGCTAACTGCCTATAACTTCAGTTCCAAGGGACCTGGTGTCCCCTTCTGGCCTCCACAAGCATTGCATACATATGGTACATTTACATATATGTAGGCAAAAATAGATTGTGCACATAAATAAAAATAAATAAGTAAGATCTAACTACCTGCTCTCTCCAAGAAATACAGCTTACTGACCTTTAAAGATAACTACTGACTGAGATGCAAAGGATGAAAGTTGATCAAGCAAAAAGGAACCCTTTCAAAAACAAACTATATATATAAGATCCTATTTCAAACAATAACAAAATACATCCTTTTATTAGATCATAGTGGAATAAAACTAGATATCAATAGCAAGAGAAACTACAAATCCTTAGAGACCGAATACACTCCTGAACAACAAGTGGATCATTGAAGAAATCAAAAAAGAAATGTAAAACTTCCTAAAATCACTCCAGGGTGGTAGCACACACCTTTAACCCCAGCACTCAGGGAAGCAGATCTTTTTGAGATTTCAGCCAGCCTAGAGCTACAGGGAAACCCTGTTTCAAAAACAAACCAACAAACAAATTCGTAAAATCAAAACTGAAAGCACGAGTTACGAGAATCTTTGGGATACAGTTAAGGCAGTTCTGAGAGCAAAGTTTACAGCTAGGAGGGCTTACACTTGCCTTCCAAAGGACCAGTTCAGTTCCTAGCACCAATGTCACAACCACTTGTAACTCCAGCTCCAGGGGATCTATTGCACTCTTTTGACCTCCATGGGCACTGCATAAACATACTCAGACACATACATGCATATACACAATTATAAACAAAATAAATCAGGATGGTCATAGTGGTATTTGTCTTTAATTCTAACACCTAGAAGCAGGGGCAGGCAGATCTCTGTGAGATTGAGACCAGTTTGGTCTCCATAGTGAGTTCAGGCCAGTTTGGGCTACAAACAATAACAAACAAAACAATAACAACAAAAAAGCCCCCCCCCTTTTTTTTGGTCGTTTTTGAGACAGGTCTCCCAGTAGCCCCCAGCTGTCCTGGTACTCACTATGTAGACCAGGCTGGCCTTGAACTCACAGAGATCCACCTGTTTCTGCCTCGGGAGTGCCGGGATTAAAGTCGTGTGCCATCATGCCCAGCTTCCTGTGTTTTTTCAAATTTTCCATACTCTGCTTGAGTGGTCCAGTTCTTCAGCCTTATCCTCCAGTGTTGGTATTCTGTTTTCCATTTCATTCATTCTAGAGGTGAGGTTTTCCCCTGTTGTTTCAACTTGGCTTATTGAGGCTTGCACTTCCTTCATTTCTGCCTGAGTTTTCTTCAGTGTTTCTATGTCTTTTGTGAATTCATTCAGAAGTTTATCCCTACCTTCTTTTAGCTCTTTGATTTGTTTGTTCATGTGTTCTTTAAAATCGTTGAATTTCTTGATCATGTTTATCATTGTTCTTTTAAATTCAGTATCCTGGGTTATCTCTAGGTGGTTCTCCTTATAGAACTCTTCTAGAGGATTGGTGGAGTTTGGTGAGGACATATTGTTTTGGTTTTCCATTTTATTATTT